CACTCTAATCTTCCCAGGTTTTTTGGGGTGATAAACGCCATGATGCGGGATATACCATACTGTTCCATCGTTGATTGAGAGCTCTKCTTCGGGGACTTCCTCGGCGAAGCCCTTACTTATTACCTCTTGCATGAAATTCCGGTAATGTTCGCTATAAGTTGAATCCGCATCGAAACGCCTTTTGAGGTTGTTCAGACGGCTCAGGGCCATCTGTCGGTTGTTGGGTAACGATACCTGGTCAGTCTTCAAAGGTAGAGGTAATTCGTAATGACCGTTATCTAAATGCTTGACACCGCTCTCGAGGATTTTGATAAAGTTCATTTCATCGCGGGACAGGGATTTTTCTTCTGATTGATTCGTACTGCTCTTCTCGATAAAGTCCGTCATGAACATCTGGTTTATCAGTGCAGGAGAGATAATCTCTTTGGATTCTGTTTGAAATGTGATATGACATCTGTTGTCACGGATGTCTGACTGCGTGACTGCACGATTGGTCRTGTATAGATGATCTTCATTTTCTAGTCGGCTGGGATCCACTGWGCCTATGATTCCCCATCCTAGCGCTGTCTTCTGGCCGTATGGGTCGTCCTCTCTGCCTGGTATGACGTCACGCGGTTTTATGGCACGTGGGCAATTGGAACCTATGAGGATTCCAACTTCGACGTCTTCCCTGTAAGGCATCAACCGTTCGGCTATTTGCTCTAAATGAGGCCAGTCACGTGCCACTTCTGGTCTTGGGATTTGATTGCGTCTTGCGGGAATGTTGTCAAGTGAGTACGCACCTGGTAGAGGTATGTCGGCATTTTCACTTAAGCCACATACAGTTAAGCCCCTTATCTTCATACACCTTTCCACGCCTTCACCCATCACCGTGCCCACGCTCAGATCGACGAGTGGGCCGGTTAGGGATAGTTTCTTCACCACAGAGTCCTTTATGAAGCAAGCATCTGATTGRTCGTCTAGAAGAGCATAAACTAGCAGTTTCCGCTCTGGATCAGATGCATGGTGCAACCATACTGGGACTATCAGTGAGCTGACAGAGTATACTTCATCTCTTGGCGAGCTCTGAATGCGATTCGATGTTTTGGGGCTGGGAGGTTCCTTTTCTGCATGTCGCTGTTCACGTGGTACATAAGTKTCCTCATGTAATGATGTTGGGTGAGGTCCCTTGCACTCGTCGCAGGAAACCTTCTTACGGCACACGTTGTTCTTGTGACCCCATCTCAAACAGCCAAGGCACCGCCCAGCCTTTATTATGAATTCCTTGCGTTTCTTTTGTGTTAGTTTGAGATACTGGGGACATGTTTCTATGTAGTGTGAATCCTTGCACATTGGACAGGTGGGACTTCTGKGATCTTGCCTTTTCTCATCGCTTCTAGAGGCTGTTTTCGTTGCGTGAGATACACTGCCGTAGGGTCTGGTACGGCCGTCGTGCGCACTGTTCTTGTGTTTAGATTCACTTTCAGCCTTGAAAGCGCGCATGGAGATTATGGGGTTGCAGGCGATTCTCGCTTCATTTTGGATGAAGCTGCAGAACTGTGAGAACGGTGGATAACCGGCAGTTGGAGTGTCCTGGTTCATCCAATGATCCACTTCTCTAGCCCATCGGTTGACGAGGTAAGGTGGCAATTTCTTTACCATTTTCTGRTTTTCGTCAGGATCGTTTAAAGCGTCCAGGAATGAAGTGGTGCGCATTGCTTTTAGCGACTGGTTCAGAAAGTCTGAAAACTTTCGTAAGCTGACACCATCGTTGGGTTGGACCTTGGGCCATTCGYTTATTTTCTTTCGGTAGGCATTCGCGATAAGGAAAGAATTTCCGTACCTGTTCTTCAGTACAGCCTTGGCCTCCTGATATGCTTCCTCCGTGTCTAAGGTGACATACCCACTTATCGCCTCCTTTGCTTCACCTGCTGTGTACCTCCCAAGATAGTACAGGCGCTTCGCCGGCTTGGTAGTTTGTTCTTCCACGATGGTCTGAAAGGACTTTAGCCACTTGGGGTAATGAAGCAAATCTCCACGGAATATTTCAGGTTCTGGGAGTGGCAGTGAATCTCTTGTTCGCCTTTCACTCAACAGATCAGCCAGTTGCATTAGAGGATTTTCTAACTGTGAGGGTTTCGGTGATTCCTTTGGAGGTCGTACTGTACCAGTCGTGGCTGCATTCCTATCAGGAGGAATTGTCGGCTCCGGGATCGCCTTGCTAYGCAGTTCGCATGGGGGGTAGATTTCCTCGTTTGCCGACCACGGTTGTGCAGCAGAAGCGGTAGGGAYCGGTGCAGCGAAAACGTCTGTTCCTTGCGAAGCATGCTCAAATCCTTCCATGGTGTGAGCGTTCGTGTATCTAGAGGCCGATGGGGAGGCGGATGGAAACTCGCGGACTATCGCGCTATCTATTCCGCTGGGCAAGAAGGAGACTTGTGTGACTGGCGGAACGGTATCACGTGACTGTTCAGCTGTTGTGGCGAATGGATTGGTCACGAATTGAGGCTTAAGCTGGAGCGATTTTGTCGGTGACTCGGTGATATATGTATATAGTATTTATCATTTTCGCCAGCGGTTTGCGTTACCGCTGTTGATTTATCGACTTTACTAGTGTTTATATTAGGCAATAGCGGAGGTGGCATGTGGAAT